TCACAATTATACAATTAATGGTTACACGTACATAATTACAGATTGGTCACTTATTATTAAATTAATTTGTCAAAAATTATTTCGAAGTCACAAATCAAAAATTTTATACGTCGCAATTTATTTCATTGATCACAGATCAAAAAAATTATATTTCAGTTTATTTATCGGTCACATATTTTCAAATTTGTTGGTCACAAATTATCGAATTTTAAGATTACAGTTTAATGGTTAGTCACAATAAACCAAATAGTTGGTCACATACACCAAACACCCACCCTCGGTCCCGATCCACCACCAATACTTGGTCAAAAATTAACCAAATAATTGGTCACAACCGTTATCCCATCACCATCCCCACCAATAGCTTAACCTCCTTCCACCAGTCGTAATTATTCAAAATAGCAAAACACTTAGCTCCGTGATTTCGACCCAGAATCTGGCTAATAGTAGTTGAAATCCCAAGGCAAGAAGGTCAAGCTCGGGCCGCTCAAGGCTCTTGCTGGGGGGATTTTCTACGCGACCTATGGCACCACCTACATGAGAAACAACCCTATGCCCACATCGGAGGAACCAAGAACGGACTATTATACTAAGGAGGTTACCCAAATGGAGACTCTCAGTAGTAGGGTTGAACCCACAGTACACCCTAAGGGGAGAGAGGCTGGGATCAGAACAGGCGGTCCTGAGAGAATCGCTGGTGAGGGACTCCAGAAGGCCTCTCTCTTCGAGAATGTTCACCATGTTGAGCCTATTCCTTACATCTACGACGTCCCCTTCAGTCGATTCTTGGACAGATTGAGTCGAAGAATAGCGTAATGAAAGCTGCCATAGACAAGGGTAGCGGCGTTGGGTGGCGCGGGAATGAAGAAGAATGGGGAAGTTGTAAATAATTGGTCACAAACGTTATCCCACCACCATGCAATGGTGGTCGGAGCATCTCCTTCGTTGTCGGTTGCCAGAGTTTGAATGGGTCACCAGTTGCCGAAGAGAGAGAAAGGAGAGAAATGAATAGGGAAAAGAGGAAGAAAAATGAAGATAGAGAAGGGAGAGATGAAATAAAATTAGGGTTTGGGTGGGTATAATATTTAATTATTAATTCAATACTTGAATTTTGATTAAAAAATCTTCACACCTGATTTTTGCACTTTGAAGTTTAAACACATAGATTTATGTAAATTTCCCTTAGGAGTAAAAAGGATTTCAAGTAAAACATATATATATTTTTAGGAAATTACAAAAAATCAGGTGTTTAAAGATTGATTTTCAAAACTCAGATTGAAAATTTAATTATTCAAAAATCAGGTAATAATTTTATATTTTAATAAATATATTAATATTAAAACCCTAACTCACTTTCTTCCTTCTCTTTCTTTGTGAGCAGCGAGCGGCGCTGTAGTCCGTCGAAAAATTAGGTGAACGACATCGCTCTCGTCGCTGCTACATTGGCATCGTCTTTTTTTTCCTCTTTTGCATCTGTTTCTGGTTGGTATGGTTGTGGAGTGTTGGGTGGCAGATCTGGTGGTTGCGGTGAAGTGTGGTCGCAGTGATGGAGGTGATGGTGGTCGTGGCAGATCTGGTGGTCACAGTGATGGTGGCGGGATCTGGTTTGGATCTTATTTGTTTGTTGGAAATGGTAGTGGTGGTGGTGGCTGAAAATGGTGGAGACGGCGACGATGCTATGAGGTGATGACGGTTTGTGGAGTGTTGGCTGTTGGTGGTTGATTGAAGTTGCAGGTGGAGGTGGTGTGTGGTGTTTGGAGCAGGCGTTTGTGGACGACGACGAGGGGTACGTTTCTGTTGTTGGCGACGCTGGTGCGTGTTTTTGTGGTGAGGGTGGTGGTGGTTGTGGTGTGTTGGTGGTGGCAATGGCGGTGTTGTGTTGTTGGTGAGGCGGTGGTGGGATAACGTTTGTGA